AAAATAAAATCCGTTAAAAATTCTGTTAAAATCTTAAAAATACCGAATGCCTGTACGACGACGTGGACCCGCATAGGCAACTTTTGTCATAAGTTATTACAATATTTTAATGCGAAACTTGAAGAAAAATCTGTTTATAATGTAGCTAAAATCATCAAAACACCCAATATAGGGGGTACCGTTATATGGGGGCTATACGAAGACGTGGACCTGCACAGACAATTTTCTGGCATGGGCTGAAGTATCCATTACGAACTTCACATGCGAAATTTGAAACAATCCCGGTAAATAATGTCGCTAAAATCATCAAAATACCGAATATCGGGAGGTACCGTTATATGGGGGCTATATGATAACTTAGACCTACATGGCCCATTTACGAACTTAACCTGCCTACTGGCAAAATATACATGTGTGCTAAATCGTCTTAGAATTTTACGCTGATCAAGAATATATATACTTTGTTGGGTCTGACATGAGTATTTCGAGGAGTTACAAACGGAATGACAAAATTAATATACCCTCCATAGTATGGTGGAGGGTATAAAAACTGCAAGCAATTTCAGACTGCTGTCATTTCTAAGCCACTCTTCCGACAGCTGTTAAAATTCAATCCAGTGACAGCTCATTATATTATTTACAAGCGTACAAAAAGATTTTGGTGAGAATTTTCCAGAAAAACAGTTATTCAATATTCGGAGTTCAAGCGTGATAGTGTGATTTCTTTATATTTGGCTGGAAAACCACAAGAGGCTATCGTTAGAGCACTCCAGCATTTAAATGTAAATAAATCTTTTGTGTCTCGTACCATCGCTCGTTGCCGTGATACCGATAACGTAGCCCGACGTCAAGGAAGTGGACGGAAGAAAACAGCAATATCAGAAGAAATGTTTCGAAAAGTAAAGAAGCGGCTTGATCGAAACTTTCGTCGCAGTGGCCTATAAGAGGCTCGTGAGCTGAACATAACGCAATATTCCATTCGACATATATTGAAAAATGAGCCATTGAAATTCCAAAAAGTTCAAGAACTTACACCGCAACAAAAAGAAAATAGACTCAAAAGAGCTAAAGATTTGCTTCGCTTGGTCGATAGTGGTGAACTGCCAAATTTGGTTCTCTCCAATTTCTCCGATGAGAAAACATTCGTTGGTCAGCAGTTTCTAAACAAACAAAACGATTGTGTTCGTGATCGTTGCCAAAGAGATCAGCTGAAAATGTGCACCTAGGGTAGGCCACCAGAACTCAAGCGCCGGCCATGGTGATGGTGTGGGCCGCCATAAAAGCCGATAGTCGCTCTCCGCTCGTATTAATCGACCGTGGCATCAGAATAAATGCCGAATATTAACGCGAAAATATTCTGGAGGGTGTATTAAAGCCTTGGGCATGCAAACATTTTGGCCGACCTTGGACATACCAACAGAACTCAACAACATCGCACTCAGAACACCACCGCCACCTAAGAATGGTTACAAAATGAGGTTCCTCGCTTCATTTCCAGTGCACAATGCCCACCATAATCTCCGGATACCAATCCGTTCGACTATGATGTCTGGAGTATTTTGGAAAGCAAGGTTGGCACTAAAAAATACCAAAGTGTCGATCGCCTCAAGCAAGCGTTTCGCCGGGAATGGGCCAAAATACCGCAGAGCAACATTCGGGCAGCGTGTGACTGTTTTATTGACCGTTTGAAGGCCATAATTCGTGCCAAAGGTAACCAATTCGAACAAATTTAAACTTTTTCTAAAATTTGAGGCTATTTCCAACAATTTTGGGTTTCATTCAATAAAAATTAAAAACGAGTTAAAAAGCAGTAAGAACTTTGAATATTCTCCGCCATTTGGAACGAATTTGGAAATTTTCAAAAATAAAATCCTTAAAAAAATTAAAAGTACCGAATATAGCCTTTATATTAGGATCTATACGACGTAGACATTGGTCATTGGTTGTTATAAGCCATTATCATATTCAAATTCGAAACTTGAAATAAACGGCGAATAATGTAGCTAAAATCATCAAAATATCGTATATAGGGAGGTACCGTAATATCGGAGCTGTGCGAAGACCTGGACCAGCATAGACAATTTTCTGTCACAGGCTGTAGCATCCATTGCGAACTTCAATTTCGGTGAGTATTGTACCTAAAATCATCAAAATACCTAATATAGGGAGGTACTGCTATATATGGGGCCTATACGAAGACCTGGACCTGCACAGACGATTTTCTGTCACAGACTGAAGTTCCCATTGAGAACTCTAAATACGTAATTTGAAACAATTCTGGTGAATAATGACGCTAAAATCATCAAAATACCGAATATCGGGAGGTACCGTTATATGGGGCATATATGATAACTTGGACCTACATGGCCCATTTACGAACTTAACCTGCCTACTGGCAAAATATACATGTATGCAAAATTTTAGCCTTCTATCTCAATTTGTTCGAAAGATAGCGTGATTACAACAGACAGACGGACAGTCAGACACACAGACAGACAGACGGACATGGCTAAATCGTCTTAGAATTTTACGCTGATCAAGAATATGTATACTTTGTTGGGTCTGACATGAGTATTTCGAGGAGTTACAAACGGAATGACAAAGTTAATATACCCTCCATAGTATGACGGAGGGTATAAAAATTTAATAATTATGGCGTTTGACTTTGTTGCAGTTTTTTTATCTCACCCTTTATACCCTTTCTAGCCATACGGCTGAGGGTATAAAAATAAAAAAATGGGGGTCACGAAATGCTTCCTTTGAATTTATTTCCGTTTTGACCCTTTGTGGGGGAGGTAATTGATGGAATGGGCCGATATTGTCCGCTTTCGCACCTGACCGGATTACTCTTTCACTTTTTGTGCAGCAGTTTGTTTTTGAAGATTTCTACCGTTTGTGTGGGAGGTACCAGAAGGAGTGGACAGATATTGCCCATCTTTGAACTCGATCTAAGTTTGTTAGAGATATTACGATGTGCCAAGTTTGGACCAAATCGAATGCTGCCTTCGAGAGTTGTCGTGCGTACAAGCCAGCCAGACAGACAGACGACGGATGGGTGGAAATCGCTAGATCGACTCCAAATATCCTGAAACGAATTTGGTCCAAAGAGACCTAAGGTCTAAAATCGCTATTTCGATGAGGCACGTTTTGGCCGTATCAAATGATATATATCCTCTCTATCTATAAGGCGAGGGTATAAAACAAATAAATGGGAGCCACGAAATGCTTCCTTTGAATTTATTCCCATTTTAAGGGATCTGATCGCATTTGTCGCTGCAGAATCCTACGTTAAAGGGTGATTCTACATTGGCAATTTTTAAAGTATTTTGTTATCTACTGACAAACAAAATACCAAATAATAAGTTTGTAACTCTGTCCGAAACTCTCGAAATACTTAAAATTGGATTTAATAGTGGACTTATCTTTACAAAATGTGGCAGGGAGAGATACTCAAAATATTTAAAAGTTGGAAGTGCTAATAGGTAATTGTGGACCTATTTTTAGAAATTTGAACAGGGAGAGATTATGTCAGCTCTGAACTCAAAATGTCAAGTTACTAATGACTGACCTTCAGAATTCCAAAAATTAGCAGGTATAGTAATGTGGGGCCTCTACCAAATCCTGGAGCAATTTTGGGGCCAAAACTTCCAAAATACCGAAAATCTAGAAGTAATGCTATAGGGACACCATTCCGAAAGGTCGACCAATATGTCCCATTTTTAATATCAAACATACCAGGGGTAACATAAATATCTGAGCAAAATTTCAGAGTGATAGAATGCTTCCCTGAATTAATCTCCCCTTTGGAGAATCTCACCTCACGGATTCTAGTGTAGCTCTACTTTAATAATCTGCTGGATTTTCCTTGTTGTCATAGAATTTAAATTAAACTTTGTTGCACTGTGTTATTTTTTTATTTATTTATTTTTTAATTCTTATACCCTCCACCATAGTATGGAGGGTATGTTAACTTTGTCATTCCGTTTGTAACTCCTCGAAATATTCATGTCAGACCCAACAAAGTATATATATTCTTAATCAGCGTAAAAGTCTAAGTCGATTTAGCGATGTCTGTCCGTCGGTCTGTCTGTCCGTCTGTTGTAATTATGCTATCTTTCGAACGAATTGAGATAGAAGCTCTCATAGCTTCCAAATAACGGTACCTCCCGATATTCGGTATTTTCATGATTATAGCGAAATTTTTCACCGGAATTGTTTCAAATTTGGTATTTGAAGTTCGAAATGGATACTACAGCCTAAGACAGTAAATTATCTGTGCAGGTCCACGTCTTCGTATAGCCATCATATAACGGAACCTCCCAATATTCGGTATTTTGATGATTTTAGCGTCATTATTCACCAGAATTGTTTCAAATTAGGTATTTAGAGTTCGCTATGGGAACTACAGTCTGTGACAGAGAATTGTCTATGCAGGTCCAGGTCTTCGTTTAGGCCCCATATATCAGTACCTCCCTATATTCGGTTATTTGACGAGTTTAGGTACAATACCCACCGAAATTGTTTGAGACGCGTATTTGAAGTTCGTAATGGATGCTACAGCCTGTGACAGAAAATTGTCTATGCTGGTTCAGGTCTTCGCACAGCTCCGATAAAAACGGTACCTCCCTATATGCGATATTTTGATAATTTTAGCTACATTATTCACCGTTTATTTCAAGTTTCGAATTTGAACGTGGTAATGACTTATGACAAACAATGCCTATGTAGATCCACGTCGTGTCGACACCAATATAATGGCTATATTTGGTATTTTTAAAATTTTACCTGAATTTTTTAAAGATTTTATTTTTTGAAAATTTCCAAATTCGTTCCAAATGGTGGAGTGTATTCAAAGTTCGGCCCGGCCGAAATTACTGCTTTTTAACTTGTTTTTTTTTGTCAAGCCCCACTAGCACAATTATTTTGAATTCTTTTAAATTGGAATATTTCTAAAATCCTAAAAATATTTTTTTAATTTTCATTGACCAAAAAAAACTTACCCAGACACCATTTGTTTTGCACCACAAAAATCTGAAAAGAAAACAAAGAAGAATTGAAAAATTTTGTTAAAAATCATCAAATCCAAAGAAAAACAACAAAGTCATTTTTTAAATGGAATTGTGTCACAGCATTCACTTCACAAAAAAACGGAAAGAAAGAAAAAAACTAGACCACTCAGACCATGATATAGGCAATTAAAAATTACTCTCCGATCCAAAACAAAAAAACAGCGAACTCACGCACACAACAATATTGAAAACGCATTCCATTTCAGAGCCTGTTTCCAGTGGCCAATACCAAAGATCCTTTATTTTCACATCACTGCAATTCAATGCCAGGCTAACGAAAAAACGAGAAAAAACAAAACTGCCAGCCAGAACACAAGAAGCGAAACGCAACGCAATGCAAAAAAAATGAACTCAGGCAAATATGAAAGCAATCTGTGACAAATTCCTAACCAAATGGTACAAGGTCGGACTACGACACGCATTGAGTGCGCCGAGCGGAAAAAACAGAGTATGCTCTAGTAAATTAAAAAAAAGTCTAGGCAAAAAAAAAAACGAGTAAACAAAAAAACGCTGCCAATGGTGGGGTGAACCCAAGCTATACCCTACAACAGGGGTTAACAAAGAATAAAAAAAAAATATTTTTTTTAAAAAATCCTTTCCACAGGAAAAGACCTGCCACAAAGTGGGCTGTACAACTATAGTCGTTTATGTGAAATCCATGTTGGAAACCAACATATTTCTGAAATAAAAAATTAGAAAAAAAGCTGTAAGTTCGGCCGGGCCGAACTTTGAATACTCTCCACCATTTGGTACTAATTTGGAAAATTTAAAAAAATAAAATACTTAAAAAATTCTTTTAAAATTTTCAAATATTGACGTTATATTGGGGTCTATATGACGTGGACCTACATAGGCATTGCTTGTCGTAAGCCATTACCATCTTCAAATTCAGAACTTGAAATAAAAGTTGAATAATGTAGCTAAAATCATCAAAATACCGTATATAGAGAGGTACCGTTATATCGAAGCTGTTCGAAGATCTGGACAAGCATAGACAATTTTCTGTCACAAGCTGTAGTATCCATTACGAACTTTAAATACGACATCTCAAACAATTTCGGTGGGTATTGTACCTAAACTCGTCAAAATACCGGATATAGGGAGATACTGATATATGGGGGCTATACGAAGACGTGGACCTGCACAGTCAATTTTCTGTCACAGACTGTAGTTCCCATTAGGAACTCCAAATACGTAATTTGAAACAATTCTGGTGAATAATGTCGCTAAAATCATCAAAACACCGAATATCGGGAGATACCGTTATATGGGGGCTATACGAAGACGTGGACCTGCATAGACAATTTTTTGTCACAGGCTGTAATATCCATTGCGAACTTCAAATACCAAATTTGAAATAATTCCGGTGAATAATGTAGCTAAAATCATTAAAATACAGAATATCGGGAGGTACCGTTATATGGGGGCTACACGAAGACCTGGACCTGCATAGACAATTTTCTGTCATAGGCGGAAGCATCCATTACGAACTTCAAATACCAAATTTGAAATAATTCCGATGAATAATGTCGCTAAAATCGTCAAAATACCGAATAATAGGTGATACCGTTATATGGGGGCTATACGAAGACGTGGACCAGCAGAGAAAATTTTCTGTCACTGACTGTAGTATACATTGCGAAATTCGAATACCAAATTTTAAATAATTCCGATGAAAAATATCACTAAAATCATCAAAATACCGAATATCCGGAGGTACCGTCATATGGGGTCTATATGAAGACGTGGACCTGCACAGATATTTTTTTGTCTTAGGGTATAGTATCCACTTCGAACTTCAAATACCAAATTTGAAATAATTCCGGTGAATAATGATGCTAAAATCATTAAAATACCGAAAATAGGGAGTTACCGTTATATGGGGGCTATACGAAGACCTGGACCTGCATAGATAGTTTTTTGTCTTAGGCTGTAGTATCCATTGCGAACTTCAAATACCAAATTTGTAACAATTCCGGTAAATAATATCGCTAAAATCATCAAAATACCGAATGTAGGGAGGTACCATTATAATGGGGGCTATACCAAAACGTGGACCTACATGGCCCGTTTTTCAATACCAAAAGTTCTGCAGACATGATATATATTTGAGTGAAATTTTATCAATCTACTTCAATTCGTTCGGAAGCTAGAGTGATTTCCACAGACGGACAGACAGGCGGACATCGGTAAATCGACCTAGAATTTTACGCTGATCAGGAATATATGTACTTTGTGGGGTCTAAAATGTATATTTCAAGGTGTTACAAACGCAATGACAAACTTAATATACCCTCCATAATATGGTGGAGGGTATAAAAAACATTTTTCTTATTTTTGGGAGAAACAATTCTTTCAACACAAAGTGGGCCGTACAACTCCAGCGGTTCCTGTAAAAACCATATTGGCAAGCAACAAAATTCTGAAAAAATTTCGCCTACCATGAAAAACTATCTACACATTTGTATGTCATTCAAGTGGGATTTGGGATTAATATTTTTGAGGCTAACAGTTTTTTTTTCAGCTCGATATCAAACTTATTTTTAATTCTTCTCATGTAGAGTTGTAGGGTACCTGAAATAATGGGAAGCCAAAAAAACAGATACTAAACGGATGCCATATGCGGCGCCCAACCCCGGGCTATGTTCGACTGGCTGCACATCTTCTATGCAACATTTACATTGTGTGTCACACAAGTTTTTGTCTTCGTGTGGTTATTGTTGTTGCCCCCAGCAAAAATACAAATTGAAACATCTCTCAACTCATTTTTTGTTTATGAAATTATTTTAATGTTTGATCTATAAATTTTTCATGTAATGAGGTAATGCAAAATTTTCCGAAGATGGTTATGATGCATTTTTTGGTTGGCGACACAAACATGTTTGACCATAAGAGCAGGGACGTAGACTGAAATGCATTTCGAGATTATTTCGAGGGGGACACTAACTAACATACTTTTTCATGTAAAATATGCACAAAAAGGGTACAAAAGTGGTAAGTTCGAAAGGGTTCCGGAACCAGTACCAGCACCCACCTTGCTTACGTCCTTGGAGGAAAGTAATCTTTTTTATACAAAAGCGTGATTTTCAATAGGACAGTAATCTCAACTTTTTCTATATTTTTATATAGCTCTAGTCCTTCTTAAAGAGGCGTGTATTTTTTATACTTTTTTTATTTTTTACAAGGACTATTAAGACTCTTGGCGAAAATTTTTTTTATATTTTTTTCGAGGACTATTAAATACAATGCACAGATTTTTTGTTAAATAAATGTTTAAAAGAGTTAATGAAGTACCAGCTGTGAATTTAATAAGCCGTGATTAATAATTGTTTATGGGGTTGTAAAGGCTGCCGGCGTTGATTTTTGATTTTTTTCCGAGCTAGTGAACCATTTAATCTCTTGAATAGATTTTCGCATACTAAGTGTGATTTTCGAGATCTGGAAGTCTCGGCCTGTTTTATATATTTAGAAGAAAAATCTAGTATTTTTATACCCTCCACCATACTATGGAGGGTATATTAACTGTCGCTGGATGGAGGGTATATTAACGCTGTGTTCCGAACGAATTGAGATAGAAGGCTAAAATTTTGCACATATGTTTATTTTTCCAGTAGGCAGGTTAAGTTCGTGAATGGGCCATGTAGTTCCACGTTTTCATATAGCCCCCATATAAAGGTACCTCCCTATATTCGGTATTTTGATGATTTTAGCGACATTATTCATCGGAATTATTTCAAATTTGGTATTTGAAGTTCGAAATAGATACTGCACCATAAGACAGAAAATTTTCTATGCAGGTCCAGGTTTTCGTATAGGCCCCATATATCAGTACCTCCATATATTCGGTATTTTGACGATTTTAGGTACAATACCCACCGAAATTATTTGAGATTTGGTATTTAAAGTTCGTAATGGATGCTATAGCCTGTGACAGAAAATTGTCTATGCTGGTCCAGGACTTCGCACAGCTCCGATATAACGCTACCTCCCTATATACGATATTTTGATGATTTTAGCTACATTATTCACCATTTATTTCAAGTTTCGAATTCGAATATGGTAATGGCTTATGAAAAACAAGGCCTATGTAGGTCCACGTCGTATAAACCTCGATATAACGGCTATATTTGGTATTTTTAAAATTTTAACAGAATGTTTTAAGGATTTTATTTTTTGAAAATTTCCAAATTCGTTCCAAATGGTGGAGGGTATTCAAAGTTCGGCCCGGCCGAACTTACTGCTTTTTAAATATTTTTTTTAGAAGGGCTCTAGGTATATTAAAGCGATTTGCTGGGATCTTTTAAATCATTGCTTGCGCGGACTATAATGACCTCAGGCACGGGTCTTTTACACAATTTTCTACAAGGACTTTTAAGGCATCTGGCATTGATTTTTTAAATAATATTTTACAAGGCCTGCCAGGCCTGGATGTATATTTATTTTTGGAAGTACCATTAAGTCTTTTGTGTGGAAACTTTCCTTAATTTAAAAACAAAACTTGTTAAGGGGCTACTAGGGCTCTTGGGGTAGATGTTTAAAAAAGTTTTTAGTGGGGATTTTTAAATCAATTTGTAAAGGACTATGTACGATTCTGGCAACATTTTTAGTGCCACAATGTGTGTACGCCACTCGCTCACACAAGTAAAAAAGCAGTAAGTTCGACCTGGCCGAGCTTTGAATACCTTTCACCATTTGGAAATTTTCAAAAAAAATAAATAAATAAAATCGGTTAAAAATAGAGTTTAAATCTTAAAAATACCGAATATATCCGTTATATTGGGGCCTATACGAAGACGCGGACCTGTATAGGCTACTTTTGTCATAAGAAAATTCAAATATGAAACTTGAAAAAAAAATCCGGTGAATAAAGTAACTAAAATCATCGGAATACCGAATATAAGGAGATACCGTTATATCGGGGCTATACGAAGACTTGGACCTGTAGTGACAATTTTCTGCCTTAGGCTGTAGTATCCATTAAGAACCTTAAATAAGAAATTTAAAACAACTCCGGTGAATAATGTCCCTAAAATCATTAACATATCGAATATCGGGTGGTTCGGTTGTATATGGACTATACGCAATCGTGGATCATTTATCTTCCAGGGGGTAGAGTACTCAGAAGAAACTCCTTTTGGGGATTTTCCGACAATTTCATTGAAGAATTTGGCTACAAAATACAAAATATACCAAATATAAGGCAATACCGTTATATAGGGTCTATACGATGTCTTGTACCGATATAAACCATCTTCTAATTTGAACTGCCAGCAGACAAAAGTCTGATCTGTGCAAATCTTCCAGGAAAATTTTTACAAGGACTATAAAGGCTCCTGAAGCACGTTTTTATACCCTCAGTCATATGACCAAAGAGGGTATATATCATTTGATACGGTCAAAACGTGCTTTATCGAAATGAGGATTTTAGACCCTAGCTCTTTTGGGATAAAATCGGTTTCATGTCATTTGGAGTCGATCTAAGGGTGTCCGTCCGAGTATCCGATTTTATCCAAACATGGCACATCGTAATATTCTTATCAAACTTAGATTGAGTTCGAAGCTGGGTAATATTGGTCCACTCTGCAAACATTGCAAATATTTGTATAGGTGCTACGTGAGGTGCGAAAATAGACAATATCAAACCACTACATAATGTACCTTCCACAGGGGGTCAAAATTTTGAATAATTATAAGTCTTCTAAAGTGCGAAACAAGCATTTAACTCTTTTCAAATTTCACACATCCTAATATTTTTAATAAGATAATGTATGATCTGATCTAATATAAGATCTGGTGTGAAGATGGAATATATCGATCACACCTTCTGATAACTCCACCACAAAAGGGCCAACATGTGGAATAATTATAACTCTAAAAAATGCGAAGCATATCAATAATTATTTCAAACGTTTTCCAATCAGAGATCTGAATGAATTTATCTACCCACTTCTTCCCATATCTTCCTCACTAGGGGTCAAAATATTAATGATTATAACCCTTATAAAGCGAAAACGTCAGAGATTTTTTCAAACATCATGTATCCCAATATCTTTTTATACCTTCCACCATTCTATGGAGGATATATTAGCTTTGTCATTTTATTTGTGACTCCTCGAAATATTCATAATAGACTCTACAAAGACAAATATATATATTCAGGATCAGCGTAAAATTCTAAATTCTAAATTCGGTTGTAATCACAATGTCTTTCGAAAGAATTGATATAAAAGGCTAAAATTTTGCATACATGCATAGTTTACTAGTAGGCAGCTTTATTTCGTAAATGGGTAATGTCGGTCCACGGAATTATTTCAAATTTCGTATTTGAAGTTAGTGAGAGTACTACACCCTATGAACAAAATTCTTGTATGAAGATCCACGTTTTCGTATAGTCCCCATATAACGATTTTCATTTAAAGGTTGTTTTCGGTATTTTTTGAAAATTTTCAAGTTCCTTCTAATAGGACGAGGTTATTAAAAGCTTTTTTTTTTTTTTTTGAACCCTGATGCAAATATTTTTTTGATATGCATTGGAAATAGAGATTCCTTTTCGTTGGTGATGAATAGTGAAATTTAATGAAGATAATTTTTCTCTTGGAGGTTATTCTTCTAATTTATTTCTTTGTTGAAGAATTTTGCACAAACTCACACAAATTACGGCTTTAACCTTAAAGTATCTCTTTAACATATATGAATTCCTGGTCATTAGGTATGATCTACATTTTTGACGTCTTCTAGGAACTATAATGGAATTATAGTTGTATTTTATAACAAATAACTTGGAATATTTTGACTTGCTACCATCCCGTTTAAACAGAGATTTTTTAACCATATTATAAAAAAGGACCAAAAAGACCCCTTTTTGACTCCTGGGGGTAACAATTTTCAACCAAAATAAGCACCATATTTTTATAAGCAATATTGCCCACGACACTATGCACCTAAACTTAAACGATTTCAAGGAATCTTGATTCGAAAATTCCAAAAAAATGGTTCCCTCTATTGATTTTACTTTGCGATGGATACTTTCAAAATGCACCTCATCTCTTCATAATCTCATGGATTTTCCAGCAATTATTTTTTTTGTTGCACAGTCTAATTTTTAATTTTCAGTTATATACTTGTGGTTAAAAGAAGTAATGTTAATAGGTGATATTTGTAAATTTTCATGGTCCAAGTTGGCACTCTTTTCGGAAAATTGTAAAAGATCGTTAGAATTGGCAATTTTTGGTAACAAATATATAAGACGCACAATGGAATTATATTCGACAATAGAAGAAGCCTCAGCTTCTCGGATTGATTTGTGTCAAGGTTGCCCTTGATATTCTCCGAAAGAAGTCTCAGAACTTTAAATTGGGAGGAGGCGAAAAATATTAAATCTCATACCCTCATAACTCATATTTTTAAGTACTAACTATGGACGATACAGGCGTAATGCAAGACCACCTTCCAGGCATGAAGAAGGATGAATGAAAGTTAAATTTGGACAACAATAGATATAACACAGGAACTACGATTTGGTTAATAACAACATACGTACATTTAAGTTTGAGCAATAATTACTTAATTTCGTTTGTGTCTTAAAACAAATTAAAAGTTTTGACTTTAAATACCAAAACAATTCCAGTTCTTAAGAATTCATAAACAATTACACTTTGTAAAGCAACGGTTGTTTTGGAGAACCTCACACTAAACCCAAATAGTTTCAATATAAATGTCCTGGCCTAACAGTCGGTGTGGTTAATTTTCATTGTAAATCCATTGGAGTAGTTCGAACGAAAATGTTGTATCGTCCTCGTTTGCCGGATGGCCGAAAGGTTCCATTATCCTGGCCCATAGCTCTCTTCAGGCTAACCAACAACATTTGTTGGCCATTGGAAGAGAATGCCTCCTGGCTTGCCGTGGTATTTGATCGTTTCTGTTGGTATTTGGCATTTATACTCTTCGTCATAACAAATGATGCCGAATTTCGTTATCTTCGGGTAAATATCAATAATTTGGATGAAATGTTGACGGGAGTACCGACATATTTGGTGCTGATTGAAATTCATTTGCGTGCCTTTACCTTGGGTTGGAGGAAGCAGGATTTTCGAAGGTTGCTGGAGAAATTCTACAGGCAGATTTATATTGAGAGGTGAGTAGAGGACATGGATTTTTTTAAATATTTTTTACAAGGACCAATAAGGCTTCAGGCGTGGATTATTTAAATAATTTTTAACAAAATCTTACAAGGCTCCAGGCGTGGATTTTTTAAACAATTTTTAACAAGGACCAATAAGGCTCCATGCGTGGATTTTTTAAATAATTTTTTACAAGGACTATTAAGGCTCCAGACGTGGATTTTTTAAATAATTTCTTACAAGGACTACTAAGGCTCCAGGCGTGGATTTTTTAAAGAATTTTTAACAAGGTCTTAAAAGGTTCCAGGCGTGGATTTTTTAAATAACTTTTAACAAGGACTATTAAGGCTCCAGGCGTGGATTTTTTAAATAACTTTTAACAAGGACTATTAAGGCTCCAGGCGTGGATTTTTTAAATAACTTTTAACAAGGACTATTAAGGCTCCAGGCGTGGATTTTTTAAATAATTTTTAACAAGGACCAATAAGGCTACATGCGTGAATTTTTTAAATAATTTTTAAGGCTCCAGGCATATATTTTTTAAATAATGTTTGACAAGGACCAATAAGGCTCCAGGCGTGGATTTTTTAAATAATTTTTAACAAGGACTATCAAGGCTCCAGGCGTGGATTTTTTAAATATTTTTTAACAAGGACTATCAAGGCTCTAGGCGTGGATTTTTTAATAATTTTAACAAGGACTTTCAGGCTCCAGGCGTGGATTTTTTAAATATTTCTTAACAAGGACTATTCAGGCTCCAGGCGTGGATTTTTTAAATATTTCTTAACAAGGACTATTCAGGCTCCAGGCGTGGATTTTTTAAATATTTCTTAACAAGGACTATTCAGGCTCCAGACGTGGATTTTTTAAATAATTTTTTGAAGGACTATTAAGGCTCCAGGCGTGGATTTTTTAAATATTTCTTAACAAGGACTATTCAGGCTCCAGACGTGGATTTTTTAAATAATTTTTTGAAGGACTATTAAGGCTCCAGGCGTGGATTTTTTAAATATTTTTTTACAAGGACTATTAAGGCTCCAGGTGTGGATTTTTTAAATAATTTTTTACAAGGACTTTTAAGGTTCCAGGCATGGATTTTTTAAATAATAAGGCTCCAGGCGTGGCTTTTTCCAATAATTTTTTACAAGGTCTTAAAAGGCTCCAGGCGTGGATTTTTTAAATAATTTTTAACAAGGACCAATAAGGCTCCAGGCGTGGATTTTTTAAATAATTTTTAACAAGGACCAATAAGGCTCCAGGCGTGGATTTTTTAAATAATTTTTAACAAGGACCAATAAGGCTCCAGGCGTGGATTTCGTAAATAATTTTTAACAATGACCAATAAGGCTCTAGGCGTGGATTTCTTAAATAATTTTTAACAATGACCAATAAGGCTCTAGGCGTGGATTTTTTAAATAATTTTTAACAAGGACTATTAAGGCTCCAGGCGTGGATTTTTTAAATAATTTTTAACAAGGACTATTAAGGCTCCATTTGTGGATTTTTTAAAGAGTTTTTACAAGGACTTTTAAAGCTCCAGGCGTGGATTTTTTAAATAATTTTTGACAAGGACTATTTAGGCTACAGGCGTGGATTTTTAAATAATTTTTGACAAGGACTATACAGGCTCCATGCGTCGATTTTTTCCAATAATTTTTAACAAGGACCAAAAACGCTAAAGGCGTGGAATTTTTAAATAATTGTTAACAAGGACTTAAAAGGCCCCAGGCGTTGATTTTTTATATAATTTTTAACAAGGACTTAAAAGGCTCCAGGCGTGTTTTTTAAATAATTTTTAACAAGGACTTAAAAGGCTCCAGGCGTGGATTTTTTAAATAATTTTTAACAAGGACCAATAAGGCTCCAGGCGTAGATTTTTTAAATAATTTTTAACAAGGACCAATAAGGCTACAGGCGTGGATTTTTTAACGAATTTTTTGAAGGACTGTTAAGGCTCCAGGCTTGGATTTTTTAAATAATTTTTAACAAGGGCTATTAAGGCTCCAGGAGGTTTATTAAAATCTTTTTTACAAGTACTATTTTTTTTCTTTTCTTTTCTTTGTTTGCAGCTCCCTTCATCCCACAATTTTCAAGAACATCCGCAGTCAACTCATGCCCATATTTGTGCTGAGCAGTTTGTATTTATCGGCTCTCATTTCCTATGTTATTTTGCCCATCTATTTCCTCTCCATCGGAAGCCGTGAATTAATGTACAAAATGATACCGGCCTTTGATTATAGCCCGTTGTGGATTTATTTGCTCTGCTGCCTCAGCAATTTATGGATTGGCGTCATTGTGGCCACCATGATGCTGGGCGAAGCCACGGTGCTGTCCACATTGGTATTTCATTTGAATGGTCGCTACCTTATGATGCGGGAAAAATTAATGGCCAAAGTCGATGTGGTGTTGGAGAAGAAGAAAAGGGATAATGGCAATCAACACATTGCAGCGGAATATAATAAAATTTTAGTGGAAACTTTGCAGGAAAATGTGGCATTGAACACCTTTGCCCAGGAGATCCAAAGGGAATATTCATTTCGTCTCTTCGTCATTGTGGCCTTTATGGCGGCTTCGCTGTGTGGCCTAGGTTTTAAGGTTTATACGGTGAGATACATTTGGAATTGGAATATTGAATATCAATAATAAAGCCTTTTTATATTCCTCAGAGTCCCATGACCAGTATCGGCTACATTTTCTGGGCCATTGGTAAAATTCAGGAAATCTTAGCCATTGGCACAATGGGTTCCACCATTGTGACAATAGTAAGCGAACTAAAACAACTTTTTTCTAAAATTTTTCAAAATGTTTTTCTCCTAGACCAACCAAATTAGCTCCATGTATTACGAATCCAATTGGGAACTGGTTGTTTTCCAATCCGAGGATTCCAAGTCCAATGCACGTCTAATGAAATTGGTTCAGTTGGCTATTGCAACCAACAGCAAACCCTTTTGTTTGACCGGTTTAAATTTTTTTACCATCTCAACGACCACAGCACTGGCAGTGAGTATAGGAAATTGAAAATTTACCTAATTTAAAAATTTAACATTTTTTCACAGATACTTCAGGGTGCCGGCTCCTACTTCACATGTCTCACATCATTCCGTTGAGGAAAAAATGGAAGAATATGGAACAATATGAAATAAAATACTTTGTTTTGAATAAAATATAAAGAATAAAGTTTTAAACTAGGGTTTCAAAAAAATTGTTTAAAAATCCAGGCCTGGAGCCTTAATAGTCTTTCTTCAAATTTATTTAAAAAATCCAGGCCTGGAGGCTCAATAGTCTTCCTTAAAATTTATTTAAAAAATCAAGGCCTGGAGGCTCAATAGTCTTCCTTAAAATTTATTTAAAAAATCCACGCCTGGAGCCTTTTAAGTCCTTGTTAAAAATTATTTAAAAAATCCACGCCTGGAGCCTTTTAAGTCCTTGTTAAAAATTATTTAAAAAATCCACGCCTGGAGCCTTTTAAGTCCTTGTTAAAAATTATTTAAAAAATCCACGCCTGGAGCCTTTTAAGTCCTTGTTAAAAATTATTTAAAAAATCCACGCCTGGAGCCTTATTGATCCTTGTTAAAAATTATTTAAAAAATCCACGCCTGGAGCCTTATTGGTCCTCGTTAAAAATTATTTAAAAAATCCACGCCTGGAGCCTTTTAAGTCCTTGTTAAAAATTATTTAAAAAATCCACGCCTGGAGCCTTTTAAGTCCTTGTTAAAAATTATTTAAAAAATCCACGCCTGGAGCCTTTTAAGTCCTTGTTAAAAATTATTTAAAAAATCCACGCCTGGAGCCTTTTAAGTCCTTGTTAAAAATTATTTAAAAAATCCACGCCTGGAGCCTTTTAAGTCCTTGTTAAAAATTATTTAAAAAATCCACGCCTGGAGCCTTTTAAGTCCTTGTTAAAAATTATTTAAAAAATCCACGCCTGGAGCCTTTTAAGTCCTTGTTAAAAATTATTTAAAAAATCCACGCCTGGAGCCTTTTAAGTCCTTGTTAAAAATTATTTAAAAAATCCACGCCTGGAGCCTTTTAAGTCCTTGTTAAAAATTATTTAAAAAATCCACGCCTGGAGCCTTTTAAGTCCTTGTTAAAAATTATTTAAAAAATCCACGCCTGGAGCCTTTTAAGTCCTTGTTAAAAATTATTTAAAAAATCCACGCCTGGAGCCTTTTAAGTCCTTGTTAAAAATTATTTAAAAAATCCACGCCTGGAGCCTTAATAGTCCTTGTTAAAAATTATTTAAAAAATCCACGCCTGGAGCCTTATTGGTCCTTGTTAAAAATTATTTTAAAAATCCAAGCCTGGAGCCTCATTGGTCTTTGTTGAAAATTATTTAAAAAATCCACGCCTGGAGCCTTATTGGTCCTTGTTAAAAATTATTTAAAAAATCCACGCCTGGAGCCTTTTAAGTCCTTGTTAAAAATTATTTAAAAAATCCACGCCTGGAGCCTTTTAAGTCCTTGTTAAAAATTATTTAAAAAATCCACGCCTGGAGCCTTTTAAGTCCTTGTTAAAAATTATTTAAAAAATCCACGCCTGGAGCCTTTTAAGTCCTTGTTAAAAATTGTTTAAAAAATCCACGCCTGGAGCCTTTTAAGTCCTTGTTAAAAATTATTTAAAAAATCCACGCCTGGAGCCTTTTAAGTCCTTGTTAAAAATTATTTAAAAAATCCACGCCTGGAGCCTTTTAAGTCCTTGTTAAAAATTATTTAAAAAATCCACGCCTGGAGCCTTTTAAGTCCTTGTTAAAAATTATTTAAAAAATCCACGCCTGGAGCCTTTTAAGTCCTTGTTAAAAATTATTTAAAAAATCCACGCCTGGAGCCTTTTAAGTTCTTGTTAAAAATTATTTAAAAAATCCACGCCTGGAGCCTTAATAGTCCTTGTTAAAAATTATTTAAAAAGTCTACGCCTGGAGGAATAGTCCTTGTTAAAAATTATTTTAAAAATCCGCGCCTGAAGCCTTAATAGTCCTTGTTAAAAATTATTTAAAAATCTACTCCTCGAGCCCTATTCGGTCTTCCAGTTGCACGTGTCTTTAAGTTCACTTTTCCCCTATTCCATAAAACTTTTTACCAGCATTTGTTGTTTATGTTCCACAGGAGCATAATTAGGATACTGAAAATTTGTATTTTTTATAAGCGATATAATTTCTCAATTAAAATTAAAAAGTTTCAAACTTTATGACGGCTGCGGAACTTATGAAAGCGGGCAATAATTGCCATAAGTTTTTTGGAGGGAGTACATAATTCATCACTTTTTTGTCAGTCTGGAAGACAATGTTAAAGAAAACTATAAATATATGATTCAATACGGAAATACCTCCCAGTTTGGAGAACAATTCCGTTTCTAGTGTTTCCACCTTCCTCCGGTCAACATATCATATCTTCCATGTTGTATACACCACGTCTGGTGAATGGCCGGCCTGTGGCTCTAACATGGCCCATGACATTCTATCGTCGCTTCAACATCATCTGTTGGCCTCTGGAGGATAATGCCGTCTGGTGGACCCACATCTTTACGACAGTCATCTATATGGTGTCCTTTCTCATATTTGTCATGCACAACGATGCTGAGGTCCGGTATCTGCGTGTGAATTTTCATAATCTCGATGATATGTTGACTGGGATACCGACCTATTTTGTACTGATCGAAATCCACATTCGGGCCTTTACGTCGGCCTTCGAGAAGAAGAGTTTCAAATGGATGTTGAGGAAGTTCTATGCGGAGATTTTTATTGAGGAGTAAGAGGAAGGGTTATCAATTTTTGGATTTCTATTTCTACAATTTTTTATTCAATTTACAGATCCCTTAGACCAGACATTCATGCCGGAAATTTACGCAGCTATTATCCTGTGCTGGCATTTTCAATTCTCTACCTGTGTGCCCTGCTAAGCTACATAGTCTTCACCATCTATGGTCTGGCGGTGGGTGAGAAACCCCTACCCTATAAAATGATACCGCCATTCGACTACAACAGCTGGTATATTTATACCCCTTTGGTCCTGAGTAGTCTATGGGTGGGGTTTATTGTGGCCTCCACCATTGTGGGGGAATCCTATGCCCTGACTATGTTTGTGCACAATCTCGATGGTCGTTATCAGATGATGGGAGAACGCCTAAATATGGGTGTTGAAAACATTTTGAAATTTTCATCAAACGATTCAGAGGCAATTGAAAAATTCCATAGAATTCTGATAGCTACGCTGAAGGAAAACATCCGTTTGAATAAATTTGCCCAAGAAATTCAGAGAGAATTTTCATTTCGTATTTTTATAATTTTCTCATTTTTGGCGGCAACGCTTTGCGTTCTGGTCTTCAAGGTTTATACGGTGAGTGGAAAGAGAAAAAAAGAAAATCGATACCAATATCTTCTTTTTTGCTCTAGAGTCCTGTCAACAGCATACCCTATGTGTTCTGGACCATTGGAAAAGTGCAAGAGACCATTGCATTTGGACAAATTGGAACGACAATTATAAGCAGAGTAAGTTCAAGGGATGTTTGTTAAAAGAATATATTGAAGGACTCTCAAATATATATCTTTAAGAACAGTTTCAATGATACAAAAGGACGAGGCGTGGATTTTTAAAATAATTTTCTTTAAAGGACCAACAAGACATGAATTTTTAAAATAATTTTTCTTCAAAGGACCAACAAGGCGTAGAGTTTTAAAATAATTTTCCTTCAAAGGACCAACAAGGCGTGGATATTTAAAATAATTTTAAAATAATTTCAAAGGATCAAAAAGGCTTTGATTTGATAAAGATTCACTTTTCAAAGGATCAACAAGGAGAGGATTTTTAAAGATTCATTGCTCAAATGACCAACGAGGCGTGGATTTTTTAAATATTTATTTTTCCAAGGATAAACAAGGCGTGGTTTTTTTTTAAAGATTCATTTTTCCAAGGACCAACAAGGCGTGGATTTTTTTAAAGATTCATTTTTCCAAGGACCAACAAGGCGTGGATTTTTTTAAAGATTCATTTTTCCAAGGACCAACAAGGCGTGGATTTTTTAAAGATTCATTTTTCCAAGCACCAATAAGGCGTGGATTTTTTTAAAGATTCATTTTTCCAAGGACCAACAAGGCGTGGATTTTTATAAAGATTCATTTTTCCAAGGACCAACAAGGCGTGGATTTTTTTAAAGATTCATTTTTCCAAGGACCAACAAGGCGTGGATTTTTTTAAAGATTCATTTTTCCAAGGACCAACAAGGCGTGGATTTTTTTAAAGATTCATTTTTCCAAGGACCAACAAGGCGTGGATTTTTTTAAAGATTCATTTTTCCAAGGACCAACAAGGCGTGGATTTTTTAAAGATTCATTTTTCCAAGGACCAACAAGGCGTGGATTTTTTTTAAAGATTCATTTTTGCAAAGGACCAAAAAGGCGTCGTTTTTTTTAAAGATTCATTTTTGCAAAGGACCAAAAAGGCGTCGATTTTTTAAAGACTCATTTTTCAAAGGATCAAAATAGCTTCGATTTGTTAAAGATTTAATTTTCTAAGGATCGACAAGGAGAGGATTTTTAAAGATTCAATATTTAAATGACTTAAATGACCAACAAGTCGTGAATTTTTTAAGGATTTATTTTCCCAAGGCGAAAATTTTTTAAAGATCTATTTTTCCAAGGACCAACAAGGCGTAGATTTTTTAATTTTTTTTCCAAGGACCGACAAGGCGTAGATTTTTTAAAGATTTATTTTTCCAAGGACCGACAAGGCGTAGATTTTTTAAAGATTTATTTTTCCAAGGACGAACAAGGCGTAGATTTTTTAAAGATTTATTTTTCCAAGGACGAACAAGGCGTAGATTTTTTAAAGATTTATTTTTCCAAGGACGAACAAGGAGTAGATTTTTTAAAGATTTATTTTTCCAAGGACGAACAAGGCGTAGATTTTTTAAAGATTTATTTTTCCAAGGACGAACAAGGCGTAGATTTTTTAAAAATTCGTTTTTCAAAGGAACAATTTTGATTTCCTAGGAGTAATTTTCAAGGATAAAAGGACCACAAAATTGTGGATTTCTTAAGGAATATTTTCCAAGGATTAAATGATGAATAAAATATTTCTTCAAAGAATTAAGAATATTTTCCAAAGATTAAAGGACGAACCAAGAAAATATTTCTTCAAAGACTTAAGAATATTTTCCAAGGATTAAAGGACAAACCAAGAAAATATTTCTTCACAGACCTTAATTTTTTTCCAAGGACCAAAGGACCAAGGATTTAACAATATTTTGTGAAGGACTAAAGAATCAAGAATCATGGACTTCAGAATATTTTTTCAGTGACCAATGGACCAATGATTTGTGAATATGTTTTCAAGGACCAAAGGGCCAAGGCCTTATGAATACTTTTTTTCAAGGACCAAAATATAAAATACGTGTATTTCTTGAAGAATAGTCTATAAAAAAATTCACGATTTGAGCCATAAAAGTCCTTCAAAAAGGCCGATTGAGCCATAAAAGTCCTTCAAAAAAAAGGCCGATTGAGCCTTAAAAGTCCTTCAAAAAGGCCGATTGAGCCTTAAAAGTCCTTCAAAAATCCACGTTTTGAGCCTGAAAAGTCCTTCAAAAATCCACCTTTTGAGCCTGAAAAGTCCTTCAAAAAATTCATTTAAAAAATCCACGTTAGGAACCTTGAAAAGTCCTTCAAAAAGGTTATTTAAAAAATCCACGTTAGGAACCTTGAAAAGTCCTTCAAAAAGGTTATTTAAAAAATCCACGTTAGGAACCTTGAAAAGTCCTTCAAAAATATTTAAAAAATCCACGATTAGAGCCTTAAAAGTCCTTCAAAAAGTTATTTTAAAAATTCACGCTTGGAGCCTTAATAGTTCTTCAAAAAGCCACGTTTGGAGCCTGAAAAGTCCTTCAAAAATATTTAAAAAATCCACGTTAGGAACCTTGAAAAGTCCTTCAAAAATATTTAAAAAAATCCACGATTAGAGCCTTAAAAGTTCTTCAAAAAATTATTTTAAAAATTCACGCTTGGAGCCTTAATAGTCCTTCAAAATTTTTTCAAAAAATCCACGATTGGAGACTTAAAAGTCCTTCCAATTTTTTTTTAATTCCACCCCCAAGCATTTATAGCCCTTGTTGACAGTTACTTAAAAAATCCATGCCTGAAGTCTTAATTGTCCTTAAAAAAAATATTTAAAAAATCCAAGCCCCAAGCAAAAGGAGAAAAAAATGTTTCCTTATGGAACAAAGAATCAAAAAAAAATTTATTTCTTAAAAAGTATTTTTCAAAGACCGAAAATATTTTATCAAGGACCAAAGGACAAAAAATATTTTTTAACGGGCCATCAAATATTTTCCAAGTATGCAAAATTTATTTTTAAGGATCTAAAAATAATTCTTCAAAGATGAGAGGTCCAAAAGACCAACCGACTTTGATTTTTATTGAATTTTTGTTTTCACCGACTAAAACACTAACAAAATTTGATATTTTATAAAAGGATCTAAAAATTTTAATTTTTTTGTTTGATGGATATTTGATAATTTTCCCATTCAAGTTGAGCTTATAATGACCTAGGGCGAAAGTAGTAGTCCTTTTGGTCCTTAAAAAATATTTACAAAAAATACTTCTGGTCCTTAAAAAATATTTACAAAAAATACTTTTGGTCCTTGCAAATATTTAAAAAAAATCCACGTTTAGTAGTCCTTTTTGTCCTTGAAAAATATTTAAAAAAAATTCACGTTTAGTAATCCTTTTTGTCCTTGAAAAATATTTAAAAAAAAACCACGTTTAGTAGTCCATTTTGTCCTCGAAAAATATTTAAAAAAAAATCCACGTTTAGTAGTTGAAAATATTTTTAAAAAAATCCACGGTTAATGAGGTCCTTAAAAAATATTTTTAAAAAATCCACATTTTTAATATTTTCTTGAGAAAATATTCCTTAAATAATCTATGTCGTTTTTAGTCAAAAAATGTATTCTTCATAGTTAAGAAGAATACAGTAAAAATTTACAACTTTCTTTACCAGACAGACGCCCTCAGTTCAATGTACTATGAATCGAAATGGGAAGCAGTTATCCAACACTCGTCGAATGCCAAGGCCAATGTCTCTTTTTTTGTGCTTTGCAGATACTTCAAGGTGCTAGCTCATATTTTACATTTCTCATATCGTTACGTTGAAGATGATAGCATGGATTAGAATTCCAAGAATATGTTCCATGTCACGACGTAAAATCAAATCTCTGTCTTGCTAAGAATTTTCCACATAAATGGAAAACAAATTATGTTTGTTGTGTTGAAAATTCAAATGAAAATAAATAAGAACTAAGAACATATCCCTACAGCTGTCAACTGAAATCTTCGTCATGCCTTACCGACTTGGGGCATTTAGCCAGTAGGGCCTTTAAGGGATTCTGTGTAAGGCCTTAATAGAGCTACGGCCCTTTCATAGTCTTCCAGGGTCAAAATCCACACTAAATGGTCCTTTGGTCCTTGAAGAAAATATATTTTAAAAAATCCACGTTTATTGGTCCTTGAAAAAAATATATTTTAAAAAATCCACTTTTATTGGTCCTTGAAAAAAATATATTTTAAAAAATCCACGTTTATTGGTCCTTGAAAAAAATATATTTTAAAAAATCCACTTTTATTGGTCCTTGAAAAAAATATATTTTAAAAAATCCACGTTTATTGGTCCTTGAAAAAAATATATTTTAAAAAATCCACGTTTATTGGTCCTTGAAAAAAATATATTTTAAAAAATCCACGTTTATTGGTCCTTGAAAAAAATATATTTTAAAAAATCCACGTTTATTGGTCCTTGAAAAAAATATTCTTTAAAAAATCCACGTTTATTGGTCCTTGAAAAAAATATTCTTTAAAAAATCCACGTTTATTGGTCCTTGAAAAAAATATTCTTTAAAAAATCCACGTTTATTGGTCCTTGAAAAAAAAATATTTTTTAAAAAATCCACGTTTATTGGGCCTTGAAAAAAATATTTTTTAAAAAATCAACGTTTATTGGTCCTTGAAAAAATATTTTTTAAAAAATCCACGTTTATTGGTCCTTGAAAAAAAAAATATTTTTTAAAAAATCCACGTTTATTGGTCCTTGAAAAAAAATATTTTTTAAAAAATCCACGTTTATTGGTCCTTGAAAAAAAATATTTTTTAAAAAATCCACGTTTATTGGTCCTTGAAAAAAATATTCTTTAAAAAATCCACGTTTATTGGTCCTTGAAAAAAATATTCTTTAAAAATCCAGGTTTACTGGTCTTTGGAAAAAATATTCTTTAAAAAATCCAAGTTTATATGTCCTTAAAAAAATATTCTTAAAAAAATCCACGTTTATTGGTCCCTGAAAAAATATTCTTTAAAAAATCCTTCTGTATTGGTCCTTGAAAAGAAATATTTTTTTTAAAATTCCACGTTTATTGGTCCTTGAAAAAAATATTCTTTAAAAAATCCACGATTATTTGGTCCTTGAAAAAATATTCCTTAAAAATTCCACGTTTATCGGTCCTTGAAAAAAATGTTCTTTAAAAAATCCATATTTATTGGTCCTTGAAAAAAATATTCTTTGAAAAATCCACGTTTATTTGGTCCTTGGAAAAATATTCTTTGAAAAATCCACGTTTATTTGATCCTTGAAAAAATATTCTTTAAAAAATCCACGTTTATTTGATCCTTGAAAAAATATTCTTTAAAAAATCCACGTTTATTTGATCCTTGAAAAAATATTCTTTAAAAAATCCACGTTTATTTGATCCTTGAAAAAATATTCTTTAAAAAATCCACGTTTATTTGATCCTTGAAAAAATATTCTTTAAAAAATCCACGTTTATTTGATCCTTGAAAAAATATTCTTTAAAAAATCCACGTTTATTTGATCCTTGAAAAAATATTCTTTAAAAAATCCACGTTTATTTGATCCTTGAAAAAATATTCTTTAAAAAATCCACGTTTATTTGATCCTTGAAAAAATATTCTTTAAAAAATCCACGTTTATTTGAACCTTGAAAAAATATTCTTTAAAAAATCCACGTTTATTTGATCCTTGAAAAAATATTCTTTAAAAAATCCACGTTTATTTGATCCTTGAAAAAATATTCTTTAAAAAATCCACGTTTATTTGATCCTTGAAAAAATATTCTTTAAAAAATCCACGTTTATTTGATCCTTGAAAAAATATTCTTTAAAAAATCCACGTTTATTTGATCCTTGAAAAAATATTCTTTAAAAAATCCACGTTTATTTGATCCTTGAAAAAATATTCTTTAAAAAATCCACGTTTATTTGATCCTTGAAAAAATATTCTTTAAAAAATCCACGTTTATTTGATCCTTGAAAAAATATTCTTTAAAAAATCCACGTTTATTTGATCCTTGAAAAAATATTCTTTAAAAAATCCACGTTTATTTGATCCTTGAAAAAATATTCTTTAAAAAATCCACGTTTATTTGATCCTTGAAAAAATATTCTTTAAAAAATCCACGTTTATTTGATCCTTGAAAAAATATTCTTAAAAAAATTCACGTTTATTTGATCCTTGAAAAAATATTCTTTAAAAAATCCACGTTTATTTGATCCTTGAAAAAATATTCTTTAAAAAATCCACGTTTATTTGATCCTTGAAAAAATATTCTTTAAAAAATCCACGTTTATTTGATCCTTGAAAAAATATTCTTTAAAAAATCCACGTTTATTTGATCCTTGAAAAAATATTCTTTAAAAAATCCACGTTTATTTGATCCTTGAAAAAATATTCTTTGAAAAATCCACGTTTACTTGATCCTCGACAAAATATTCTTTAAAAAACTCACGTTTATTTGATCCTTGAAAAAATATTCTTTAAAAAATCCACGTTTATTTGGTCGTTGAAAAAATATTCTTTAAAAATCCACGTTTATTTGGTCCTTGAAAAAATATTCCTTAAAAAATCCACGTTTATTTGGTCCTTGAAAAAATAATCTTTAGAAAATCCACGTTTATTTGGTCCTTGAAAAAATATTCTTTAAAAAATCTAGGTTTATTTGGTGCTTGAAAAAATATTCTTTAAAAAATCTAGGTTTATTTGGTCCTTGAAAAAATATTCTTTAAAAAATCCACGTTTATTTGGTCCTTGAAAAAATATTCTTTAAAAAATCCACGTTTATTTGGTCCTTGAAAAAAATATTCTTTAAAAAATCCACGTTTATTGGTCCTTGAAAAAAAATATTCTTTAAAAAATCCACGTTCATTGGTCCTTGAAAAAAAAATTCTTTAAAAAATCCACGTTAATTGGTCCTTGAAAAAAAATATTCTTTAAAAAATCCACGTTTATTGGTCCTTAAAAAATTTTAAAGAATATTTTTTCAAGGACCAAAAGGCACGTGGATTTTTTAAAGAATATTTTTTCAACAATTTTTATTCCGAATCGTCTTTCTTTTTTCCCTCAAATACCTTAATGATTGTTGTAAATTTGATTCACTAAATTTTTCTATTAAATTACAAAGTTTTATTTTATGATGCGGTTGGGAGAAACGCCCGCCGTCGCACAGCCTAGTAAATGGTGGCCTCTCATCAAGTGAAATAAAGAAGAAATGGAAAAAGTTTTCTTCAACCAAAAAAAAAAAAAAAAAAACTGAAGGAGACGAAGGAGAAACAACTTTTACCGAATAAGTTTATGGCACATTTGTTAAAATGTATGTCAGTCAGTTAGTCAGTCAGACAGGCAGCATAAAAATACAGGACATGCTCGCCACAGCTATAAACATGCACACGAACCATATACCCACCCTTCCCTCTTCCTTGCCATCCTATACCCAAAATCCTGCTAACCTCCAGGACATTTTACAATATAACAAACGGAAGTAAAAACTGGCAACCATAATTGCAAAAACTGTTCTCCATAAATTTGGGTGGTTTGTTGACTTTAGCAGGCAGTCTCTACTGGTAGAGATATGTGGAGAGAGCAGGAGGGGCCAACCATAGATGTAGAGCGGGTGAAGGTAGTTGCCCAACACATTTCAACTCGTTTGGCTGGTGGTAATCGTGGTCATGTGGCTTCGCTTCGCCTTCATTGTTGTCATAATGAAAAGCATTTGTGAAGGGGAAAATTGTTTAAATGGAGAGAGTAGCCAATAGAGAGTGAGGGGGGGCAAAGGGGAGAGAGAAAATCATGTTACATGTCCTAACCACAAATCGATATTATGCGAAACTAAAAACATATTTTGAAAGCAAACATATTTTGGATTTTGAAAACAAAAATGCAATCTAACCGCAGGATAATCAGTGCCAACGAAATTATATTTTATTTTGTTTATTTTATATCCTTTTTTTTCTGGATACCATATTGTGGTTATTGTTGTAATTGTATTCAATGGACATGTAGGTTAGATAAGGTGTTAGGATGGACAGCAGTTTTCTATTGAAATCGGAGATAATTGGCCCATTGGATTCGTTCTGCCAGATATGCAGATGCAGCGGCGACAAGAGAGATAGATTTAAGCCGTGTTCGATGTTTGCAGGAAATCATGGGATTTATTCCAACCTTATAATAATTTACAAGACTTTGGCCCATTCTGGGCTAAGTATCAGAATATGTGGGCCTATAATGTCATACTTGCTACGATATTTTTGGAAAATTTTAACATCTGCAGGAGAGGTACCCGAAGTAGTAAACGAGAAAAATTTCTATCCGTTGATCTGTTTGAGTTTGATGAGAATGTAACATAACATAACTGACGGATACTCCCTTCTACTCCAAATATCCTGAAATGGAGTCCCTTGAACAGAAGGCCTTCTATAGGCCTTCTAGTGACAAAAGACCTTCTACAGGTCTTCTGGAGACAGAATACCTTCCACAGGTCTTCTGGGGACCAAGAGCCTTTTTCAGTTCGTTTGGGGACAGAAGGCCGTCTTTAGGTCTCTTGGGAATAGAAGAACTTCTTCAGGTCTTCTATGGAAATAATATCTTTCACAGATCTTCTGGGGACAAAAGACCTTCTACAAGTCTTTTGGGGACAGAAGGCCGTCTTCAGGTCTTCTGGAGACAGAATACCTTCCACAGGTCTTCTGGGGACAAAAGGTCGTCTTCAGGTCTTCTGTGGACAGAATATCTTCTACAGGTCTTCTGGGGACAAAAGGGCCTTTTTCAGGTCTTTTGGGGACAGAATATCTTCTACAGGTCTTCTGGGGCAAAAGGGCCTTCTTCAGGTC